ATAAAATTTTGTTAATTTATAAATACTTTATATTTTTGACTAGTATATATATGTCGTACCCGTACCCATAAATTTTTAGATTTTGCCGTTTTCCGTCCCTGCTTCCGTTTCTGTCCCCGTATCCGTCCCGGTGCAACATAGTTAAAGAGGATGTAGTGGACATAATTGTTTGAATGTCATTACTGTAGACGTTTCTCAACAGAAGCAATGGGAAGTAGAAGTGGGATTATTTCGATTTGGAAGAGAAGTGCTTGACGTCGACGTTCGTCGGACACATCCTCTAGGGCTGGGTTAAAGCGGGCCAAAATAAACTAATTTCCAAAAGTCCAAATGCATTTCTGAAAAAAATCTTTCAACAAATAATATAATGACACATGTCAATAAACACCTCATGGAGATAAACTATTTTATTTATAAAAATATTTATTTATAGTATATGAGTTATAGTGACTGCCACGGTTCGCATCAATCATAAATAATAAAAGAATCACACAAACAAAAAGAATTTGAATTTAGTCTTACTTTAACAGACGGAAAGTATACGAATCACTGACCACAAAAAAAAACTGTTTATCCAATTTTCTTAATGAAATTTGTATTCATATTTAGAGTCAAGCTATAAAGAGACATGCATTATCTGAGGGGTAACAAGCGAAATGTGTTAATTATAGACCAACACAATAATAATTTGAAGGAAGAAAATACCAATATGTGCTGTTTCCCATTTCAATGCACATCCAAAGAACAAAATAAAGTTTAGGATCTCACTGTATCAATCTAACAAATCAATCAGCAATACCGTCAATCAAAAAAGTTATATTCTTGCCCAAATCATGAACTACATGGATCCATGTTTTCCTACAACAGCGCCTTTCAACATCTTCTGGTCTTGGACCTAGATCAATTCCATCATGATCCGTGGTACTGTGTCTATGGCCGATGTATTTGATCAACGAAGAAGATATAGCTAATCGATGGATAAATGGATCTCCAAGAAGATAATGAGCTATACTGAGGCTGAACGATTCTCGAAGAACTGAAGAATCTGAACGACGAATACGATCGAATCTCTTCAGGTTTTTCTTATAGTATCAGTAAAACAGTTCAGTTGGATGTATATATACCTTAACACCAAAGTGCGTGAAGTCAATTTTACTCCTTATCATCGATATTCGGCGACGATTTCTTCTTCTCTCTTGAATGTTGAATATTTTTTTCTTTTTAATCAATATTTAAATATTACTAGAGATTTTACGTGGTTTGCTTGTCAATATTTATAAGTTTTAATGTTAACTGACTTAAACACTAATTTTAGTATAATAATTTAGTTAATTTCATTTGGTGTTAAAAATACGGGATAATAATATAGTATTAAATTATTACGATATAAGTTTGATAAATTAGAATATGTTTTGAAGAATTTAAAAATCTCACTTATGATATTATTATTTTTATACTTCAATATATTTGTTAGATTTAAACATAGTTAAAATTAAAGTTCGAAAAAAACACAGTTAAAATTTCCTTATTTTTTATTACGCACATTTCAATATTTATTAAAAGAATTAAATTTTGGCCTTTAATCTATTTTTTCCCACTATTCGAGATTATATTACATATTTGGTTTTACAACATATGATTTAACTTTGAACTTTATTCATCGGAATTCTCCCTACACTTTTTTTTATATAAATGTGTAACTATTTTAAATGTTTAATCCCTAATAAAAAAATTGTTCACCGAAATATGTCTGCTAATCAAAGGTCCAATACAAATACAATACCAACATCAAATTGTACGATATTAAAGAAGATGTAAGATTAGTTTTCCCTTCCTTGCCTCGATCAGTCGATCTGTCTATTCAGCAAAACCATATTTTCTTAAACAAGCTCTGGTTTTGATTATGACTCCTTTTTTTTGTAAAAAGGGTTAATTTTTATGACGCTTTTCACTCTGCTTTCCTTCTTAGCCTGGATGACAAAAGAAACAACACTAGATATATTCAAAAAGATATCAATGGGGAAATTTTCTGATTTGTTGGAATGCTCAATTCAGATACCAATGGAGAAGTTTTCAGCCATGTCTCCCTGCTGCATAATTTCGTTGATGTTTATAATCCGGTCATAAGAAATAACTCCTAATCGCATAAACCATAATACTGTTTTTAGCTTCAAAATTACTTGAGTGGTAAATGTTGGGGGTGGATTTACACCATCCTCAAGGCCCATTAGACAATTAGTTATGCACATTTAGATGAGAAATCCTAAACCTCATTCTCCTATAAATAAGGAGGCAACCCCTCTTTGTTTAGGATCTTCTTCTTCACTCTTTTAGATCAAGAACACTTTTTAGAGATTTATAGATTCACTTTACACTTGTAATCATTCAATGTGATGAATCTATTATCAATAAGATCTCTTTGATGTTCTATTTCTCATTTGTTACAGCTCAAGACTTGATCTCAGCAACAAGCTCCTGATTTTCTCTCAGCTCAAGCTCATCCACGACTTATGGTGGAGCTCAAAGGTTTGAGGAGGCCAACATCCAGAGCCTGAGCTTGCCATCGCAAATACAGCTCTGATCTCTCCTCGGAAGTATGAGACATGGCCTTATCTTCATCTCTATACGTTGTCAGCAGTGTCTAGCTCTGTTCAAGCTCCAAGCAACAAAAAAAAAAGGAGAAGGCTCGGTCATGAGTTCATCTTGTCGAGAACAAGCCGATGTTGTTTGTGTGTTTCTGGTTGAGTTACAAACCTGGTTGTGTACGAGAAGTGTTTGAAAGAGATCCCCATGCTGCAGCAGTTCCAAGCTCTGAACTTGCTTGCGTTTGGGATGTGGTGTGATGAGAAGATCAAGAATTTTCTAGGCTTAGTTGCAAGTAGCTGAGACGTGACATGTTGCCTAGCTCAGATGTGATGGGACTGGTGAGTTACTCCCTGCAACTTGTCAAAATGCAGCGGAGGCGCAGCCCCTTGTACTCCATCAGCACACGACTCCCTGGACATGTATCTCTTATGCTCAGTAGTTGAGCTGAGTCCACCAAAGCTTAGCAACCTTGGACCTTTGTTTCTTCTTCACGCAGAGATAAGTCTCTTATTAAACCATCACATGCTTTATTCACTTTTAAGTTAAACATGTGTCATGGTAGGAATTATAACTTCGGTTTAAATAACTAAACAACTCTAAGTTGCTCACTCTCATATAATTAACTTTCATGAGATGGCTCCTTGTTTGTTTATTTTTCATAGCCTACGCATATTGGTGATTTACACTTATTATCACGTCATGGCAACTAATGAAAACAAGTTTTACCGCTTACTTAATATTGAGCCAAAGCTTAGTTATTTCTTTTGGTTTACCTTGCTCTAATCATGATAATGTTTTCGTGAGCCAGAGTCACTACGATAGCTGAGCCAAAGGGAATCAACACATGGTTGCCACCATCATAACCTCGTGCTTCGAAAAATGACTCTCAGCTACGAGCTCATCGGAAGCGGCACAAGCCAGCGCGTTTCTCGATATCATCATAGCCTGACGAACATACAAATCAGCAACTTGCTCGACATACAACGATATCGACACGAGACTTCGGGTCAGCAATAGTTCGGTAACCTTGTATATTAGGCACAAATTTACTTTGAACTTGCTTTTTGTTAGGCACGTGTTTGCGAGTGACTCGCTTATTTTTAGACACGAGTTTACAAAAACTCGTCTTTAGCTAGGCATGAGTTTACAGAAACTCCCCTTCTACTAGGCGCGGGTTCTCAGTAAACTCGCCTTTGTCTCAGCATGAGTCTAGTAAACTCATCTTTCACTAAGCACGAGTACAAAGCAAATTCGCCTTTTACTAGGCACAAGTTCAAAGTAAATTCGCCTAAATCGTCACATGTATGAATGTACCTAGTTCATTGTCTCATAAACCCTATTCGTAAACTCCGCAGAGATCGATTTCATTTCTCTCTACGAACTTGGGGAGACTTACAGTTGGGGTGGATTTACACCATCCTCAAGGCCCATTAGACAATGAATTAGGCCCATTTAGATCGAAAACCCTAAACCTCATTCTCCTATAAATAAGGAGGCAACCCCTCTTTGTTTAGGATCTTCTTCTTCACTCTTTTAGATCAAGAACACTTCTTAGAGATTTATAGATTCACTTTACACTTGTAATCATTCAATGTAATGAATCTATTATCAATAAAATCTCTTTTATGTTTGATTTCTCATAAGCATCAAGGATTTAAGAATCCAATTCTTAAATATTTTATTGTTATGAATTCAACAAACACACTGTTTTTGGTTCAAACAGTAAATGATTGGATCACTTCTTTTGCTGCCGTGCATCTCGTCGTTTGTTGGCTAGCGATTGGAAACACCTCTTTGATCTGCTTGTCTTTCCTACTCAACTTCTTGGAACTGGACCTTCCTTGTAAGATTGGTGTCCATAAGCTAACACTTGCTATAAGATTTCAATTAAACACATAATCCGTGAGCTTGTCTTAGATGAGAGAGGGTTGACTACCGAGAAAGCTGAGAAATGTGTACAAATAAATGTTTTCATTAAGTATCTCTAGACCTTTTAGAAATTCCATAACTCTTTTCCTTTTTTATTATTACCAGCCGAACATCGAATGCCCGAATGTAAATAAATTTGGGTATCATTTCAGCTTAGTAGTCTCGCAATCAAACCCCATGACCAAAACTCATCTAATGCCCAAAGAGAGAGTCCACCCAAAAACTAGTTTGTAAATGGAAAAAGTAGAAAACCAATGAAATTTTATAAAGTGACGTTGTAACACAGATTTGCAAGAAGAGTGACTCATTCCTTTCCTATATAGTAATTATTAAGTAGTATATACATCATAAATTGGCTAACTTTGGACAATTGTTCTTTGGCGCCAAAACATCAGTGAAATGTAAAATCTATCTAAACCCTAACAACCTATCATTTTCGGTAAAAAAGAAAAAAATCAGAAGGATTAAGATCCTTGTGTTGACTTCTATGGAAGGTGCAGTTTCCTCCTTGTGTCATCTCCCTGCGAAAATAATCAAAACCAGTGTGAGAAGAAACGCAAATAAGCCAAAACTGATCACATTGATGACATTGAGAGGAAACTCACTGTACGTTGATGGCTCTTAGCAGACCTGCCATGTTTTGAGTTTCTAGAGTCTGTTCTCGAGGTTCGTCCATGTAGTCTCTGGATAAAATCTTGTATGTGGTTATATGTACTGCAAATTCAAACCATAATAAACACACAAACAAATGTCAGAAACGCGCTAAACAGCGAAGTGTAAATGTCTGTGAGAAACTACTTTACCTAAGCCGGTGTCTGTTACAGGCAGCAAAGAAGGCTACAAACCCGTTCAATATACTCCTGACAGCACGAAAAACCTGAAAAAATGAAGCCAACCAAACACATTTAGTAATGATTGAAAGTTACAATGATTCGGATTCTTTTTATTGTATTAGACATTGGTTTTACTGACATGAGAAAAGAGGTCATTCCAAAGTGTACGCCACATGGAAACTTCATACGTCTTCACAGCTGCTTGAGAATCTGATGCAAACTGAAGTATGCTGCTCATGTACCGCCATAAATCTCCAAGAACATCGAATAGGTATGAAAAGGAAAAAGCTAAACCGCTGGCCAATGCAACAACCACTCGGATTGGTGCATATACCACTTCCCATATGATCCAGAACAGAGGCAACAAAACCGCACTTGCTGCAAAATTGAAAAATAAAAGAAAAAGGATCAGAATTTTGATTATATGCTTATAGAATATGTATTGTGATGCTTGGTTTACTTACTGATGTTCCAAACTAGTGAGACGACAAACCAAATTGGCAAAAGCACCAACTCCACCACATCACCAACAAGATTCCAACCAGATTCAATCACTATCCAAACCACTGAAACCAAGCTCTCCACTGTTTCCGCCAGCGAATTCCAAACCGGCAGGAGCAAACAGAGAACCTCCAAAAGAGGATTCACCAGAGGCATTACGAGTAAAGAAACAAACGACTGTACACCACGTGCCATTGTCATAGCCCACTTGACAGCTTTCTGAACGTTGTGAAGAAACAACATCGTTCCCAAGTACTTTATCCGTGATACCATGTCCCATGTCTCGACCCAATCAAAGAGTGGACCACATAGCCGAGATGCAGTAGCCTTTAGAACGGGGACGTTTTTGTACAGGTCGTAAAAACCGATCACAACGGTGATGATTGATATAATCACATACAGTGTTCTGGCGAGAAGGCACATCCATGGTCGATAAAGATGGCAAAATCCAGGATAAGACTGCAAAAACAGGACCCATGAAGGGAGACCAGCTTCAAGCAGAGTAAGCAAGCGTATGTCGGACATTATAACCTCTCGGAATTTAAAGGGCAGGTCACGGTCACCAAACCTGACCAGAACTAGGACATCTTTATACTCGGTTGCTTCAGTGATGTTCTCACCATCAGGTACGTGGCGTTCCCAGTGGTCTAACGAGTTATCTTTTCTTTTGGGTGTTTCCTCCATATAGTCAAATTCAACTCCGGTGCTGATTGCCTTAGTTACTCTTCTTCTCTTGTATGGTCCGGTAAGAGGCGGTGTGTGAGGCTCTTTTTCATCGTAGTCTGCAGTAGAATGGTCAACGCTGAAGACACTTCTTGAGCAGCAAGGAGAGTCGTTTTCAACAGACACATAATCACTACAGAGTTCAGCGTCATCGTCAACAGGTGAATGTTTTGAAAAATCAGCTTCAGCGTCATGAAAAACCTCTCCTGAAAGAGTTACAATACTGTGTAAGCTAGAGAACGAGATCTTGCATTAGGAAATTAATATAAAAGCTAAATTAGAACAAAATGAGTTCTTAATGAAAACAGAATAATAATACCTTTAGTTGAATCAAGATATTCCCTCAAGCAAGATCTTTCAGATTTTGATCCAGAAAACCACTGAGACATATTTGTAAGAGCTTGATCGATACTCTCAAACTCCCACCTTCGCATCAATTTAGCTTCAATAGCAAGAGATGTGTCTGTCTGCACAAAGATAAATATAAAGTAAGAACCAAATAAAACCATACAGTGAAGAATTGCAGGGGAGTACCTGTAGCTCGTTCAAGTAATTGATACCCCTCACATTGGCCCATTCAACTTCAAACACGATGAAACCATACAAGGTCTTGTGCAGCTGCTTGTTTAGATACAAAGAGCTTTGCAGTTTCTTTGCAGGTATTTTGTTCTTGGAAAAAGTTGTTGCGTCAATCAGTGAGAACCATTTCTTGAGCTCTTTTATTTTCTTACTGTTGGACTGGGAACACGCCTCTTTAGGCTTCTCCTCATCCTCCTGCTTCTGCTTTTTCTTCCCTTCTTTACCTTTCGAGTTTGCAAAAGGGGAGAGTCTGGACTGCAAACAACGATAGATGGGTCAGTTCATCTTATTTTTCCACCTGAAGCGACAACAAGGAAATGAACTTGGAAGCAGTTTTTACAACCTTTGTAACCATAAGTTGCCAGAAATGAGCAGAACGGGTGCCGGGATTCAACCATGGCCGGTTATCCACCAATATGTAAATCTTCTTGCTTTTATTGGCCATGAAAATACTGAGATCAGAAAGATATGACTGCAAGTCTCTGAAACGCAAAAAAAAAAAAACAAAGCTTAACCAGATAAGCAGAGAGAACAAACACCAGGCAAATAAAATGTGACAATCTAGATTGAAACAAACACGCAACTATTATCAGATTAAGAAGCTTCGATAAGGAAAAGAAGGCAGCACAATGAGCTTCAGAACGATCACATACGCAACTCTAATGCAGTCCACATAGAACATCATTAAACTAGCCTAGAGAATTGCTAGAACAAAGCGCTTGAAACTATCATTCACTTCACAGGGAGATGTTTAAGACATGAACACCAAGAATTGATACTACTTCAGACTCAGGAAGGGAATTTAAAACCCCAGCATCAGAATTCAATTCTACAGGCATTTCAATTCAATATAAATGAGAGAGGCGAGTGCTTATATTGCAGAATTAAATATAAACTGTCAAAAAGAAATTACAATTTGCTTTGTCTGGGAAAGGTTCAAAATTAGCTGAAACAAGAATAGTAAGTAGTAAAAAAAAACAGAACCGGAAACTAGATTGTCCTTCTAAACAGGTTATATAATTCCATGTTCATAGACATGAACTACAGAGTATCATTGATATCTGAAGGTACAAAACTTTGAAATTTACTTGTTTTGTCAGGAAGAAAACAGCTTAAATGTTCAATAATGGGTGAAACTAAGACTTGTTATATTGTAATGAAAAAGCAAAGACAGAACAAGGAAACTAATATAGTTCAATTGTTCATAGACAATAAGCTGCAGAGACACGGACATGGGGTGATCAACAGAGCAAGATAACTTACCCGATCTGGAGACTCGTCAAGGGGAAAACGCATTTTGTTTCTTCACCATTCCCCATCTCAAAACACACACCGATATATGATTGCACTCTAAATTCTCCAATTTAAACCTCAAATTGACCTTAAAATCACTGTAAAAAATAGAAACAGAACAGTTTCAGAAAGTTTGGCCATCATCATACTCCACCACGCATGAATTCTCCACAGAAATCACAAGAAATAGTTTTAAAAAAAGAGAATACGATTAAATGTAGGAAGATTATTCAAATTGTGAATACTTAACAGACAAGGAAACTCTGATGCTCAAAAAGAAGAAGAAGGAGAAGAAGAGGAGTATATTAGAGCTCAAAATCGGATCAATACCGCCCCGCCGGAGAAATTGGACCACGCGGCCACAACGGATCAGAGAAAAGAATCTAAACCGCCATTAATGTCTCGAAGAAAAAGCTAAGAAAAGGAAACAGAGGCTGAGAATTTCAAAACATTGAGAGAGAGAGAGAGAATTTGGGTTTATTACTTGCAAGTTGCAACAGAAGAGGAGATGACGAGAGAATAATATCTCTCCAACGAGACAACAACTCAGAGAAGGGTAAAACTGTAAATTTGTTAGCCGAGGAAGACGGAGATCAGAGGGCTTGCTGGTGTTGTTAGTTACGGTGCCAGTGGTCGACTTGACGGTTTTTTATATCACCGGAGCACGTTGGAGAGAGACAGAAACAGAGCTTATGGGAAGATTATAAATAATTAAACGCGTGGGGTAAGGTCCTTCAATGACAAGCGCGTGTAGGTTTTAATTTCAGATTATTACTTAATTTGACCTAGTTTTTTATTTCTCCAAAAAATGCCACTTTATTAATAGTGGATCTTTATCATTAACTGAACTAAATTTATATATCCACGTTAAATGGAAATCGCAGAGTTTTCATGATTATTTATTATAAAATGATACTAGTATCTAATTTATTTAATGAAACATTGAATTAAAAATATCATCTGCACTGAAAATAAAAAAATACTGTGGATGAAAGAAAATTGACGCATGGGAAACGAGAGAAATGACATTTAGTAAGTTGGTATTTAAGTGCTTAGGTTTTCTTGAAGAGCGTATCATCGTGTCATTAAGCTGTGACATACACGAATATTCATCGCCTATGGATGGATGCATAAATTGCCTGCAGATATTTAATTGGGTTAATTGAACTGCACGCATTTGGGAATAAATAAATTATAGGCCTTGAAGCTTGAGAAAATAAGGAAGAATAGTAGATACAAAAGCAAAATCGAATATGCTTTGAACAAGATCGTTCAACTAATAAGTCTATAATTATTCTCTTGACATAAACTCTTATTTGTCTTTTTATTTAAAATGTGAATAAACGCCAGTTAGACTATTTCCCTTATATTCAAGCAAGTACATATGCTTTTGTAGTTTCTGGGGTTTATGAAAGAATTTCTAATATAAAGAGATAAAACTAAAAATGGAAACTCATCCGTTTGGTATTAGTTACAAAGGACACGCGTTTCTTGGCGCGTGAGTACAGAGACTGTGGCCCAATACCAAATCAAAACTTGGACGTATGTGATCGATTCGGTTTCGAACACAAAATCCACGGAAAATGTATGGAGAGAGTACTCGTGGGTGGGGTCCTTGAACGCCGCTTTATAATTCTATCTACTAGAAGCTACGTAATAATTGAGAAAAAACAATACAAAGTGATTGTTGTTTCTCAATAATCTATAGACCTATGTAAATGCCATTATTGCTGAATCACGTTACTTGCATTATACAGTACTAAACAACAAAAAATGTGTGTTGTTTTTTTTGTTTGAACATAAAAAATGTGTGTTGTTCATTATGAATCTTCGGATAGATCACCAATGTTTAACTACTTATTTGATTTCATGTAATATGTTTTTCTGATAAAATAACTTGGCATAGTTGATGTCATGGGGTTTTGTATTTCTCCTATCTTTGTATCTGAGTCTACAATTCTTATGAGTTTTGAATTGAAAGCAACAAAAAAAAAATTGATTAAATTACTCTATTCTTAATAATACTTTTATGTTTAATTCAATCACATTTCTCTTTAAATAGACACTTACAATCATATGATTTAGCATTTAAATTTAAGAACTGAGATTTTGGAGGATAGAGTTTAGAATTTTAATAAATATTTAAATTTAAAATATTTGTAAACTAGTTTCAAAAGGAACTATTGAATTTCAAAAAGAAAATTTGAAAAAAAATGAAAAAGGAATTTTAAAAAGGATTATATAATTCTTTTAATAAAAAGTTTAATTTGGAAAATGTATTATTCAATAACTATAATTTCTTTTTAATGTTTTTATTATTTATTTAAATAATTATTTATATGTTTATATCTATAAAACAAGGTATTTATAAAAATGTCCTTTTCACTAAGGTACATATGAATTGTGGTACAATATATATGGTAAACTTGAAATTCTCAAAGAATCCATATGGAATATATAAGTTATTAAAAATCTAAAGAAGAAAAATATTTGAACATTCAAATTTTCCTCAACTTTAAAAACACATGGCATCAACGAACTGAATCGCGTTAAATTTCTTGAAAACAAGTCAAAAATAATAAATCATTAGACTGTAAGAATATACTGAATCACATAAATTAGTACATAACAAAATAAATGAATCTCAGTTTTATTAATGACATAGATCTACATTCTCTCTTTAAGAAATCAAATTACTAGCCAAACAAGTTCAAATTAGCACAGTACTAGTAATTTTGAATATCTATGACAACAAAACGAAACATTTTGCAGCATCAGTTCACGCGTATATAGCACATCACATGTGAACTTTAAATTTATATATTTCCAAAATTTTCACTGAAAATAGTAACTTATCTAATATACATGAAATATTTCAACCACATTACATCTACAACTTCACCATATTCCAACTGTGTAATTACTCTTGTAGTAAAATTAAGCATAATGGAATAAACAAATTTAAGTATTTTTTAAAAGAAATTTGATAATCTGCTAAAATCAATCCAAAACAAAGGTATTATTAGCTTGGGAAATTTTTCATTCAATAACTATAATTTCTTTTTTTTTTATTAAAAGCAATTTGATAATTTGCTAAAATTCATATGATAATCCCTTAGCTTGGTAACACTGAACAAAGTCATACTAGAGATAAAACTAGACAAATTCAAACTATTTTAGACTCTGTAAAGATTATTTAAGATACGAAGTGTTGATATAGATTTTGGAGAAAATATGAGATGAAAAGGTGTAAAAGATATTTTAAATTTTTCTGCGATGTGACTTTCCGCGAAGAAAATGTTAATTGATGTAAGATTGTCATTGTTGAAAACGAAAATATTTATAAATGAAAGAGGCATCGAAAGAATCTACTTGATCTCCAAAAACGATATTTAGTATGGATATGACAAAAAATAACCGCGAGAAATAAAAATTGTCGTTTTAGAAAGTTTTACTTATTTAGAATTTTTTGTCTAAATATTCTCAACAAATAAGATTATATTCGAGAACGTGGTTTGATATAAATGACATGAATGAGATAATGTTTAGTGTTGTTTTGAAATAATAATAATGCACAATTATTTTACATTTTTAATGTTATTTAATAGATACAATAACAGTGAAAATCTGTCTCTCCAGCACTATAACAAAGAAATAATCGTAAATATGTAATTTTACCATACTAGTCAATGCATAATTTGATTAACAAAAAAATTCAATGCATAATTCAAATATGGTGATGGCTGATTATAAATTTTTACAAGACACGAAACAAACAAATGCAGATTTATGTTTTTATAAGATTTTGAAACAATGATGTTTACCTATAATTTTTTCCTAATTACAAAATGGATTTAGGTAGCTAGACATGATTAGCTAGGTGCGTTTCTCAATTCAAGTTTGTCTTAAATTCATGGTCTACACTCAGACTATACTAGATTTAGACCATTGAGTTGATGAATTCAATTTATAGACTAATTTTCAATCAGATATAGGATTCTCCACTATAAAAGTTTGCAAAACTATGAAAGAAATACGTTTAAAATTGTATATTTCTATGACAATCATATCTAGTTGATTTTTCTATTTTATTTGGTTGAAAGCTAGTTAGTTCCTTATAGATTTATGATATGAAATAAACATTTACAGTTCGTACTGGTAATATCTAAACTGAGAAATTCATTAAAACCTAATTGTAAGAACTTGAAACGTTTACTTATAGAAAAACTGGAATAAATATTATACTATTTTAATTTAATATCTGCACCCCGTTATGCATCTTGAGATCGATCACCAACTATAACTATTTATTTGATTTCATGTAATGATTTCATGTAATAGATTTTCTGATAAAATAACTTGGCAAAGTTGATGACATGTAACTATTTTCATGTGGTTGGAATTTTTATTTCTCCTTTGTATATACGAGTTTATACAGTTCTATGCAAATGAAATCCCAAAAAAAACTATTTGAATCTCATAAGTTAGTAAGAAATTAATGAAGAAAAATATTAGAAGGTTCAAATTTTCCTCAACCAAATGAATTATGTAAAAAAATTAAGAACATTCAAAGATTAACAAACAATTATAGATTGTAAGCATAAACTTAATCACATAAATTATTATAGATATTAAGCATATAATATATGTGAATCTCAGCTTTATTAGTGATATAGGTATACATAGATCTACATTCTCTCTAAAAGAAATCAAATTACTACCCAAACAAACTCAGATTAGCAGAACACAAGGAAATTTTGAATATCTACATTTTTGCAGCATCAGTTCACGCTACAACTTATAAGTATATAGCACACCACATATGAATATACCTCAAATTTATATATTTCCAAAATTTACTGAAATAGTAACTTATCTAATATCCTTGAAAGATTTCAACTACATTGCATCTATAACTTCACCATAACATACATACATTTCAACTGTGTAACCTTAATTGTTGTAGAAAAATTACGCATAATGGAACAGACAAATTTAATCTTCTTTAAAAGCAATTAGATACTCTTGCTAAAAGCAAGCCTAAAACAAAGGCAATATTATCTTGGTAACACAAACAACTACCATATCAAATAATTAAAGATAAAATTAGAAAAATTCAACTATTTTAAAACCTCTAAAAATAATTTACGATAGGAAGTGTTGATATATATTTTGAAAAAAGTAGTCAAGGCAAAAATCTAAAATTATATTTTGATTTCTGCAATAAGAATTTCCGCGAAGAACTTTTTACATGATAAAAATTTTACTGATGAGAACTAAAGAAAAGTGAAGAAATAGAGAAAATGAGAGGACAAAGAGAGAGTATATATATAATCTCCTAAAACGACAACTCATGGGATGGATCTAACAAAATAAATTATGATAAACGAAAACCATCTTGCAAATTTTTCTTATCTATAATTTATTTTATTTTGACTGAAATATACAATATGAGCTTTTATTTTGTATGTTGGGTTCTACATCTTGTCTTCCGGTTCTTTC